GGCCCACGCTCGCCGAAACTAGAGAAAGCCCGCGTACAGAAACGAAGACACAACACAGCCATAAATAAATAAATAAAATTTAAAAAAAAAAGAAACTGTGAGAAAATAAATGCTTGCTTGTGGGTAATTTATTACACAGCAATAATAAATACATATGCTTAACTAGATTTCCAGCCTCTTATCAGGGTGAGAAACGGCCTAAGCCAATGCCTTGTAAAGATCCTGTTGATCTGACTGGTTACCAGGCAACCATTATGATGTCATCAGGATTATAACCTCACTTAATAGGGTCCTGCCAACCGTGGAATGACAAGTCCCAAATAAAAAATGACTTCTTTTGGGTGAGCATATCTATTTCTCCTTTCCTCTTTACTTTCCCAAATAAGGTGATCTTACTCCCTTAGTCAAAAAGGATCCCTGTGGGTGCTTTAAGTCCCCATCTGTCTGCATTAACTTGGACTCTGTATCCAATAGCCTGGAAATACCTGAGTATTGCTCTTTGTAACCCAGTGTATAGCTCCCCAAGTAAATTAAATGGCCAGAGGTCTCTTTGGGAAGCATTTGGAAAATCACTGCTGTGTACATTTTCTGTGGATCTGGCTTCTCTTTTACTGAATGGGTGTTTTGGATCTGAGAACTGGCTCAGGTGGGGAAACTGGGAAGGAGATTGTGACTTTCCACTGGGTCAGCTGACTTCATTCATATGCAATCCAGATTTTATATATATATATATATATATATATATACACACACACATATATGTATTTGATTACATATATTATGCCTTTGTTGACCGCCTATCTATCTAGTCCCATGTCCTATCAGCCAACTCCATGGATCCCTGCAAGTCAGGTGCCCCTATCTGTCATTCTGACCCTGCTTCCCTCTACAGCAATCATGCCCACATTGCTTCTAATGGGTAAGTGCTGCCACCCAGCCTCTGTCACTCCAGGATCCCATTACTAGAGAGCCCAGTTCTGTAACAGCATCCCCTATCGTCGGCCGTGGCTTACAGATCCCACTGGGTATCACCGAATTTCTCAGCAAAGCTGGTGGTGCCCCCACCTCTCATGGCCTTGGTAAACAGAGTGTCCTCCGGGTCTTCTTATGGAGCATCCGTTCTAACAGGTTCACTTCCCTGAGCCTGTTGATCTCTTCCTTCATCTACCATGGAAGTCATATTATCTTGACTTCACTTAATGTGTCTCACTTCTCTTGCCAAGTACCATCCATATGGTGTATCAGAAGCAGTCCACTCAGGGCCCTTGACAAAGTGTTAGATCTATATTATGGGAGAGTGAGCCCATATCTACAAACCCTTCCTTAACCCCACTCCCACCCCTTGATCTAGCCCATTGGGATCCATTTTGAGGCTTATTTAAAGTTCCTGCTAGTATATATTAGCATGGTCCTGCAAACTCATTCCATTCCTCCCTTAGCAAGCCTGCAACACTTCCCCAGGTAGGCCATACTGAGGCCTAATTTTATTTTATTTAAAATATTTATTTATTTATTTAGGCTGTGCCACATGGCATGTAGGATCTTAGTTCCCCAGCCAGGGATTGAACCCGCTCCCCCTGCGTTGGAAGCTTGGAGTCTTAACTACTGGACCGCCAGGGAAGTCCCTGAGGCCTAATTTTAGTGATTGGTCTAGCGGCCAGAGGGAGCTATGGGGCAGATCCTGGAAAATGCATTGTCTTGTAGGGTACCTGCCTCATTTGAAGCTTCTGCATAGTCTTCAGATTGGAGGGTGGGAGTTGGCCACTTCCTCAGGCCCCAAAGGTTCAGAGGAGTCTGAAGTTCTACCACTGTTTGGTTCTCATCCCTAGTTCCTTCTCAGAGCCCAGACTATGGTGTTGGGGATTAACCATGGCTGAGGAGTTGACCATTTCTAAAGATCAGCTCATTTTAAGTGAGCCTGAGCCTGGTCCTCAGAACGAATGGTCTGCTGTCTGACTGCAGGTGATGGTTACAACAGGCTCCTAAGCAGGCCCATGGGCTTTGCTGTATATTGATGACGGATTGACCAGAGGCAGTCATTTTCCCTCTTTCAAGCATCAGTGGCCACCTAATCTCAGTTTAAGAAATTACTATTTCCCCCATGTCCTCAATCACCAGAGATTGAATAAGCCAATGCATCCCCATCTACCTCTCTCCCACCCAGCTCCCCCAAGGTGAGGGTCATCACACAGCTGTCAGCATCCCAGCTACCACTTGAAATCCTATCCTTAGACTCTGCTTCTTAGGACCATTCCTGGTACCGACTCTCTAAGCTGGACCACCGAGAAGCAGGGCTTGAGACAGAATTCAGATGCATAGGATACATCGAGGGAGTGTTAAAGGGAATGAAGGGAGGGAGTGGGCAGGGAAGAGTTAGGCAAGGATGCAGTCTCAGTGGGAGATGAGCTTCCTTCTGATTCCATTGGCTCTGGAATGTAAACCGCATCGCAAGACTGGTCACTAATTGAGGCAAGGTCTTTCTGAACCCCTGCGTTGGTGAGCCATTGGTGTAGACTGAAAGGGGGGAGGGTAGGTGGGCTTAGCCTCCCCAGAAGGCAGCTCTCCACCAGCCAAGAACAGTTGTCAGAAGGGGGCAGCTGTGGGTTATTAGCGACTAACATATATAACAGCTGGGAAGGGAATTTGTGAGTCAGCCAGCAAAGCGGATCTAGATGGGGCATTAACAGAGCCCACCACAGGCTCCCTCATTATCTGGAGGTCCTTGCAAAATCTAAGTTATTCCTCTTTGACACCTTTTGCTCTTTGATCGTGTGATCACCCGGCTTGGGAGGTGGCGCACTTGGTGTCAGTTTACCTCTCGCCTAAAGATGGTTTTGGTCAAGGCAACTGGCTAAGTAATTAGTGTAGGTCCCACAGCTTGTAAGAACAGAGGCAGAGTGAAATCTCCCAACAGCGTTCACTTTAGTTTCCTCTGGTCTGGAGGAAAACGAATTTCTGGGGCAAAAGCCAAAGACCCAGCTGTTTGAAGGCAGGGACTTCCTAATGTCCTTTGTTAACTACTCTATTTATGTCATGAGTTTGCACTAAAGTGGCCCCAAAATTCTTTAGAGGAAAAGGGCCTCTATGTTTGCTTTCAAAGCACAGAGGAAGGAGCAGAGGGCTGTGTAACAACCCCTCCCCTCCAAAAAATTCTGTTCTGGAGAGAATGCCAAGGGATTTTTTTTTTTTTTAATCTCTTTTCCTACTCTACTGTATTAAGACGTTGACTGCAGGGGCAGTTTGTCAATAGGATATGAAATGGAAACTGATATTAGAAGCCAAACTTCTCATGTGACTTCCAAAGGAAGCATTTTGAAATAACCACAAAGCTCAGGTGACTGTTAGGCATTTGACTCTTTAATTCCTTCTTATTCTGTATTTAATCACCTGCAAGTCATTTGGAAAAGGCAAGCAAATTACTGGATCCATCCCTATGGCTATTCTGTTCTTCCAAGCCTCTTAGTGTTGCCAGGACCGCGCAGGTGAAATTTCATAACCATTCTTCATCAGGAAGTAAATTGTGGTGTTAATCCCAAAAGTGGGTACTGAATTTTGGAGGTTTGGAATTCACCTTTTCCTTTTTTGTTTTCTCAGACAACTTCAGTGTTCTGCTCCAAACGCACAACTGCTATTTTATCACTTCAGTGATTTCTTTCCATAATAGTGAAATTAGCACTACTTTAAAAGACATAGGGGGAGCAATAAGATTCTGATGGCGGCTTCATGGAAGAACAGACACAGGCAGGATTTCTATAAGCAGAAGTAGGAGTGGGGTGTTTGTAGGAAAAAGGAGGTTATGGCTGGGACACAAAAGAGAAGAGAGAACTGTAGGCCTTCAATGCCAGGTAAAGGAGTGGAGACCTTTCCGTGGGCCAAGAAAGTAGCTAAAGGCTCTTCGGAGGGGACCAACATCTGACCTGTGTCTTTGAAAGATCATCCTGGCCGCAGTGTGGAAGCTGAAAGAGACTGGAGTGACCGTAAGGAGACTGTGGGAAGGCGAGGGGCGAGACTAGAAAGGTTGCCCCGGGAGGGTGGGGATTACAGCCCGTGGGTAGGTCGGGTGGGTGTGACCTGGTGTAAGGGGTTAGGTCAGGAAAGGAGAGAGAAGAGAGACAGAGGGAGGACTCGGTTAGTGCGGGAGAGTGCCACGTCCCTAATCAAAGCAGGGAACCCCACAGAGAGGAGCAGGGTCGTGGTGGAGGGGAGATGCCACGATCAATCAATTCGTTCTCTGCTCGACCTCGCGGTGGAGACATCCAATAAGCGGCTGCAAGTATGGATCTGGCCCTCCGGAGCAAGAGCCGGTCTTGCTCCGGAAGTATGGTCTGGCCCTCCGTTGCAAGACCAATGCTCGGATCTGAGATGAGATCTTGACGGGATAGGCGGGGGTCTGCCTTTTCTGGAGCCGGGTTTAAAATTCTCCGCTTCCAGTAACAGTTGGCGAAGTCTGATGGCGCGCTGGGTCCGGTGTTCTTCAAGGCCGGGTCTCTAGGCCGAGGGGAGTCTCCCGGAGCCGTGTCCATTTGCGGGGGCCAGGTGTCCCGCGTGGGCCGTGCACCCGCGCGGGCCGGACTGAGCGCACACGCCGCAAGTCTGTCTCGGCCCTCCCATCGCGGCCGCCGAGGGCCGCGCGGTCTGCTCCAGCCGGCCGCTGGGGAAAGACCTCACCCGCCCGCGCCGTACAGCTCGGCTCCACCAATCAGCGCGCTCCTTCCGCGGCCGACCAGCGCTCCAGTGACGCGCGGGCCGGCCTGAGCCCGCGGCGCTTTGGCGATGGCCCCTTCCGCGCTAGCCCGGCTAGTTAGCTGCGCGCTGCGCCTCTTGTGCGACGGCCCCTGGGCGGCTGCGCGTGCGGGCGCGGCCTTGGCGCGCCCCCTGGCGGCCCGGCGGGGAGCTGCGGGCGCGGCGCTGACCCGGAGGCGGCGGCGGCGGTGCCCGGATGGAGGCACGTCATTGTCCCCCGCCGGGCGGCTGGGCTGTGTGCGGCGGCGGCGGCGGCGGCGGCGGCGGCGGCGGCCGCCGGGGGGGGTGGAGCGAGCGCCGAGCCGGGTCAGGTAAGCTCCCGCCTCTTTCCTGCCCGCCGCTGGCCGGCGTGGGGCCCGCAGAGCGCCTAGCTCGCCTCGGCCGCAGCTGCCCTGGCCGCCCCTC